AATGGCTAAGAAGAGATGACAAGCTTAGATTAAAATTGAATGTCAGGTTGATGTACTTTCATCTGTATGCGTTACTGGTTTCAATATTATTTGTAGCTGTCACTGAATAATGCAGGGGAATGTTGCTTACGCTCATCTCTCACCTCGATGCGATGACCTATGAGGCCATACTAATTTTACTATGTAAATAAATTTCTGGTCCTTCAAAACAGACAAGGTGATCAAAGCTAATGTGCTTTTATTTCATGCCTGCATAGTGTTTCAGCATTGAGATTCATAGCTATAGGTGCAAAGTGCGATAAAATTGCCACAGGCACATGTGATTTGCCCACCTTGTGTAGCATTATGCAGCCGGGGGTCGGTGACAAATGAGCACATTATGAAAAGCTTCATTCTCGTGGCTTTGTTCTTGGTGTTCAGCTCCTCTCTACCATCTGATTGACTTTCAATTTCATTGAAAAATAACGGGTTCGTTCCTGTGACTTTAGTAGGATAAATGAGAGATCTGTGGCCAATTTGCATAAAACCTTTTGATCTGTGGGCAGAAAAAAAGACATGTCATGCTTCCGATTTTGCAATTTGAAGGGGTTCTGAATAGTATTTGGTTATTACCCTTCATTAACATTTAACTGGGCGCTTCCCAGTATAACCAGCTGTGCTGTCTTTTCTCACAGGCTCTCTTACAGCAGCTTAATCTTGGCCAGACTTGCAAGAAGGTGCTTTAGGTAATGTAATAGCGCCGAGCCACCCTGAGGCACTCTTAATTAAAAGCCCCATGCGAGTTTGCTTCCTGTGCAGCCTGTGAGTATTGGTGTCAAGGTGGAGAAAAGCTTCCTTCCTTCCTCCTGCCCTGCACCTTTTTCTCCCCTGTGTACGGCAGACAGACAGGTGGAAGTAGTCGCTGTTTCACACAAAACTTTTTACAGAAAGAAATAAGAGGAGAGTTTGAAGGAGAAAGAAGGCAGAAGGAGCAAAGGGAGCAGACAGATGGGTTGTAGTGGTGACTCTTTCACATATTAAAGATGTTTCTGGAGAGAGGGAGGTCGATTCAGAAATGGGGTTCATGTGTTTCCAGCAAGCACGTTTCAAACGACACAGATATTATGCTATGCTACTGGGACTTTTTTAAACATGCGTGTCCTTGTCCTTGAAATCTGGTCTGTTGCCCATCCGTTTGACCTGCATGTATGCTGGGGGGTTAAGGTCAAAATGGGAAGTTGTGGAGCTTTTCCCCAGAGCTCAGAGATTACATTGGATGCAAGCCAAAGATCCATTAAATATTGAACACTTGTGCAACAGGTTTTACACACTCAGACCACTGATGTGTGCGAGCGCTTACTCTGTACTCTGATGTGAACTCAAGTAAAGTGGGAAACAAGGGTGAGGATAATAGCTGTGTCAACTGTTATACTTCCAGTTTCAACAACCCATAGATCCACATTTAGAGATCTGAAAGAATATATTTGCAGTATTTATTTTTCATTTAGAGTCTCACACTTCCTAGTCCTTGAAAGAATAAAACAAAATAATAATCTTGCTTGGCTTTATCTCCCTCACTATGTGGAAATGATACATCTCCTAGGGCAAGGTCGACTGGTCTGTTGGCTGCTCGACGTGCTCCCATTCAACAGCTAGTGTGTTCTGTTGTTATCTTTTCATTTCAGTATGAAATAGCAAAGTTAAAACGATTTAATATGCTGCAAATACTAGCTTTATGTGTTTTTAAAAAATAGGTAATTTAGGCTAATAAGGCTAGCCACCCCCACATCGATTATAGAAGAGTAGGTACAACTTTTAGTGAACGGTTTTCTTTGATTGACTGCAGTCGCAGCATCCATCCTTGTGCTCTCAATTCATTTTTGTAAAGACTCCATCCACACTGAAACACAAACACAATGGGGAAAAAAAAGGTTTAATTTATCCTTCTTTTTTCCTGTTTTCCTTTCATTCTTTTCAATCTTCATACCATATTTTTGTACACTGCTTTTCAATTACTGGTCTTAATCGTCATCATCATGTTAAGAATATGCATTTTGTAGTAGTGCCATTGGTTCTTATTTTACTTACTCGTTCTTGCTGTTAATTTCTGTCGTTATTGCTTTTCTTATTGATCATTCTTTTCTTTCCCGTTGTACCCTTCAATCCCTGATAATTGGATTTAATTTTATCCTCCTGACATACATTAAAGTGTAACTGCAGGACCACCACTGTAGCAGATAAATTTTACAAACTTAAAGTCTCCAGCTCGCACACTTCCCCGACACCCTGTTTCGGCGCTGGACCTGCAGCTGTACTTGCCCTCTTAAATATTTCCATCAAAGGCGGCAGCAATGTCACTACTTCAGTCATGCATTACAGCCAGTCCAAGTATATGGAGCTGTATGGTACAGATTAATTATCTGCACATGTGTGGCAGATTATAGTCCGAGTGGCACTTCCTAAATGTCACCCTGTGTTTAAAGGACAGCTGATGATGAAAGTTGAAGAGCTGGCTGCTTGCCATCTCGAGGCTATGACTAACCCCTGGAGTCACGGGCTGATTGACTGTGTGTGGAAGAGCGATGGCTTACTGGGCCGCGTCGCCCGTCAGCCCGTAACAGGACTGCATGCAGCGCTCAGGAGTCTCCTTTAGACACACTCATGCTAGTTCCCAGAGACGCACCTCCAGGAATCAATTGGAGATGCGATGAGAACAGCAGGAGGCGGAGACATGCTGGGCTCTCGATCTTCACTCGATTTTATGCTGGGCCATGAGACGCTCCCTAGTTTGTTTTTTACGCCTGATGTTTCTGGGACAAACAGCTGGAAGACAGTTCAGCGCTGGGAAAATAAACTTTATCCATACGAGGTGTGTTGCCCTCCTTTTTAAAAGCAGTCGTAAAAGCATTTTGGCATCAGTATTGATTACACCAAATGAGATCTAGAAAATGAATGTTATGGGCACTTCACATCAAGGTTGATTCCAGATTGGTGTTTATGCAAAAAAAAAAATATATATATATATAAGAAGCACAAGTATTGAAAAAGTAGAAATCAAAAAAGAAATATATAAAAGAAGATTTAAGTTGGATTTAAACCAAAGTAGAAGTTAAACACAAGGTGACTTCTATGTCTTCTGGAGGTTCACTCCAATTGGGAGCAGTTATCCAGATGGCAGATGACCTGAGAACCCAAGAGAATCCAAGAGATGACAACTACAGAGAGAACAAAAACCCACTTGGTGTTCCCAGTTTGTATTTTGTGGGAAGCCGTCTTAATCAGTAGGAAGTGGGATTAGTAGGAAAAAAAGAGCTTGCTTTACAGTGTGGAGCGTGATTATGGCGATGTTTTCCCAGTGCAAACCGACACTGGTTGAAGGTAGTTTGTTTATTGTGTTGTGTGATGTGCAATGCAGCGATAAGCCAAGAGAAAAAAAAAAAAGTCCACGACATGTACTTTCCCTAGGAGTATAAATAATGTGGGATTCATGGTGTTCCTTATCTCCGCTGTTCTTTCATTGTGGTTGCACAAAGGCAACAAATGGCACATTAATCTTTTTCTGATTAGCGCTGGAAAACGGTCGTAATTAAAAGGCGTATTTATTTCTTTCGCATTGGCTGAGTAATAAAAGGGAAAATTGAGTTGAGGATGTCAAGAACAAAGGTGGTGGGATCTGGAAGGGGCTTAATAAAAGGATCTTTTCAGGGTTTGTCCCCAAGCTGACCCAGGACTGTTTCAATATCCCAGCATGCTCCTCGTGGTTACGCTGCAGCTGAGCTCGGCCTTGTTGGCATGCAAACAGAGTAGAGTTTGGCATTTGAACAAGAACATAATAGTGCATTGAAGGGAAAGCTGCCAAATATCAAGTGAAATAGCATATCATCAGTATTTTTCATGTGTCTTTCTTGTTGCTTGACCACTTGATGACTGTCAAGTAGCTGCAGCGCACACTGTTATAAACCTTTCACAAATGCAACGTTCAAATCATAATGTCTTTTTATGCACTCTGGGTTTTTGTTGATAAAACTTAGGCTGGAGTTGCTTTTTTCTCCAGCCTAAGTTTTAGCGTTGGTTGTACACATTCTCAGAAATTAACAAGTCCACAAGATGCCGTTGCCATTTGAATTTTAAAGGAGTAAAGGGGTAATATGGGGATGTAACAGTGCCAGTTAGCACATCAGCAGATACAAATGGCAGAAAGCTTTGTTAGAACAAGTCCACAATTACCTGCATCTGTATATTGTGGCATTGCTCCTGCAAAGTGCTTGCCAAAATAATTGGTGAGAGATCAGGGCCATTTTCAAAATCAACATGGAAATGTGCAAAAAATAATTGGAAACAAGTCCAAGAGAGTTGTGTCTGTGCATGGTGGAGCTATGGAGTATGTCCACCAGTCAAGACACCTTAGCAGTTTTGTCCACTGTAATTTTAGAACTAACAAAATACTAACCTCCACGAGTGCTGCCAGTGTTGATATTTGCGTCATGCAAATGCTACATGGTCTGAGTCCTCTTGTGTGCCCTCGTAACATGAGTAAACAATAATGACACAACCGGTTGTCAACACAAGCGTGGGGTTAAAAAGCATGTATACCTCCAGCCCTGCTTGGTCTGCTGTCTGCATTAGCTTATGTCAGCTAATGCTAGCTGATTATCATAGCTGCTGCTGAGATTGAACTGACATTTCCATATTGGTTTTTTGACTTTATTGGTCTGCTCTGTTTGAGTAATGTTTCAGTCAATTCAGATCATCAGTCAATGACATTGTCTCAAACCAGTTAAATAAGACATTTTGCAAGTTAAACAACCCTGAAACTATTTTACAGAGCAAGCATTTTGTTTTTGCTTCTGTACATGGCCAAAATATGTCCAAACCTTTTACCTACAGACAAATACACTCCATTTTGTTGTACCATCCCTTTTACCAACATGGTCAAATGTACAGCTGGATCATACACTTTCTGTCACTTTTGAGAGTATGATCTTTAAATTAATTTCCTTTTTTTCTTTTTTTTTTTTCAGCATTCACCATGATGATCATCTTGGCTCTAATCCGCATCAGTAAAGGCCCAGGTGAGATCCACCCACCAGTCGCTTCCCTCTCTGGGGTCCCCAACCTGTTCGGGGTGTGCGTCTACTCCTTCATGTGCCAACACTCGCTGCCCTCGCTGGTGACGCCCATCTCCGACAAGAAGCGCGTCGGCACGCTGGTGTTTGCAGACTACGTCCTGATCCTGGGCTTCTACGCCCTTCTCTCGTTCACCGCCATCTTCTGCTTCGACAGCTCACTGCTGCATGACATGTACACCCTGAACTTCACAGACAACTGCAGCGTGTTAGATATTCCAGTGCTGCGCTACTTCCTGGGCTTGTTTCCCGTTTTTACCATCAGCACCAACTTCCCCATCATTGCCGTCACGCTTCGCAACAACTGGAAGACCCTGTTCCACCGGGACGGAGGCACCTACCCATGGGTGGTGGACCGCGTCGTGTTTCCCCTCATTACTCTGGTGCCACCAATCGTGGTGGCCTTCTGCACCCACAACTTGGAGTCCCTGGTGGGTATTACAGGGTCCTATGCTGGCACAGGGATCCAGTACATTGTCCCAGCCTTCCTTGTGTATTACGCCAGACGCCATCTGGAGCCTGTGATGGGCAGAGATGCCGTCAACAAGCACCAGTCTCCTTTCCGCCACGCCTTCTGGGTGTGGTTTGTTTTGCTGTGGGCCGCCTTCTGCCTCATGTTTGTCACAGCCAACATCATCCTGACTGACACTAAGAAATGAGAACTTGTGTTATGAAAATCTCCATCTGTACGGCCAGTTCCTTTGTTCCTGTACACGAGGCCTTACATGCTGCTGGTTGGACAGTGTGCCTTTTAATGGAACTTTTGTTGCATAATTTAAATGTAATTTAGAGTAATTTATCAAATTTGTTGAAAGGGACCAAATGTCAGATTTTATGATGAAAGCTGGAACAGTGCATGACAGTACTGAAAGGGAATTTATTAAAAAGGATTTTTATGTCAACAAACACCTGACAGTCTGGGGTTTTCACAAGGTTTTGCACATTTTTAAAATATATCAAAGGATTCGGTGCGCTTCAGATGAACGATTTCACCCACAGCTTTGTCTGAACCCATCGGAACAGACCTGCTGTCGTAGAGGTACGACGTGATGATGTGTACAAATGTTGATAATGGCGGTCTGTCCTCAAAGGCATTCATGGTGTTGTATTTGTTCACACATGAGGTGGCAGAGTTAAGAAGAGAAACAAGCCTGCCTACCTCTTACATGTCTGATTGTGGTGTGGTTGCTGGATTTCTGGTTTTGGATAAATGCAGAAATTCCAATGTTGGAAAGCTTCGGTCCAACAAACACTTTGTTTGAAGCTTACTTATGACTTTAGAGTTCTGTGTGTTGTCCGTTATGTAGTTATTTTAGTATGTCTTATTCCAAACTATAGAAAAGGCACAGTGTTAAGACGCTGAGGGTTCCACTGGATCTTCATAGCAGAATGTTCCTATAAACATATATTAAAGCCATTGAAAAGCATTGACAAGAAAAAGAGCCTGTCACATCCAGACTCATGTTCTGTCGCGAAACTGCTGCATGACTTAATAATGAGATCAGAACAGAAACCAACACAAGAAGAGAAAAGAACGAACGAACAAGAGCCGATCACTCTCTCATGGCTGACGTGTATCCATTCCTCAGTGGCATCTGCCTCCGATCTCCTCGTCCTCTTGTGAACAATGAAGCTCCGTCCATGACAGATCCTCTGACAGATAGGCCTCCAGGAAGAGCTCCATCTCTGTTTATCACCAGACACTCGTGTCTGTAGTTCACGCACAGGGCACGTCTCCGTCTTCTACTGCTCAGCACCCATTCATGACTCTGTCAGCCTTGTACTGTATCTATCACACAGCCCAACACCTGACAGGATAATAGTGATCTACAATACTTCAGCTCTGGCTGTGGGGGAGGCATCATTGGCCAAAAGTGGAGGCAGCCAACTACACAACTTACACTACACACTACTGTACTGTAATTTAGTGATGCTGACTTCACTGACACTTGGCAGCTTCCCCAACTTCATTATTGCCCTCGTACTTTCATCTTTGACCTGTTTGATGGTTCTGTCTTTGTGATTTTCGTAGTGCATTTATAACATAGGAACACTTCTGTAAGACTCAGCCCACCCAAAGAACGAAAAACTATATCAAGTAATGCTAAATGGAGGTAAGTCAAACCTGGTTTGCGTGGCTCACAGACTAATTCTTAGTTCTGCTGCAGATTATTTGTAATCTGTCAGTTCTATTAATTATCAACAGCAACACTTTCTGGTAAGAAGTGGTTGTTGTTGAAATTTCTAAATGTCATGTTGTGATTATTTGTGAGCACAACAAATCAAATTTAGTTTGATCAATTGGATGGTTCGAAATTTCAGAGATCGATTTCTTTAAATGTGGACAAATTAAACAAGAGGTGGGTGATGTATTCATTCATACCTTGACGAGAGATTTTTTTTTTTCTTTTTAGTGAAAGCTAGTACATGATGTGATCAGAAAATTCAGTCTGCGCTTGTTAAAAACTGTTCATGATTTAAATTTGGTTGCCATCTCCTTTGTAGCAGTCTCCTTGTGCAGCGATGCTCTGCTCTATGTGCTCCTGCCACAGCTGAAACACTCTCTGGACATCCGGACATGCGTTGGATCTCCTAAACTGTGTTAAAAAGAATTAAATTTAATTTTGGGCAGAGGAAGAAGTCACAGATCTGCCAAGTAGGATGGATAGAGAACAAGGATTGTGGCCAAGTAACATGCATGTTGTCATTGTGCTGTAGGTGGGTGCGTTGTTATGACGGTGCACCCAATTGGCATCCTGTCACAGTTCAGAGCGATTACACCAGATGTTCTCCCTCAGATGCGTCAGGATGTTAAAGTAGAGCTCCTGAATGTTAAACAAAACACCAAGCATGCTTCCTGACATGATGTGCCTTCTCCAGTTTTGAACAATGTAGGCTCTTCCACTGTCAGGTCTGCTGCTTAGTCTCTGAATTGTAGCTGTAGAACCAACTCCCATCACCAGTGAACCCAAACTAGCATTAAGGCTAGGTGATGCTTTTGATGGAGAACCTTCCAGACTTTGACATGGTGCTGTTTCTGCAGGTGCATAGTGAAATCACAAATGCGCTTCAGTGAGTTACCCAAAAGACACATGAAACGTAGATCCCGATGTTGACAACATCTGGCGAGGCCTACTGGTAGCACTTGTTGCAGGACTGTGGTGTGTTCTGTGTGTGTGCAGCAGTCTCTGAACTTTTTGGTTGCACCTTGTGTAGTTTAATTCAACAGTTATATCGAATGCTGTTACTGAAATGTCTCACTGTTTGATGGTAATGTTAGTTTCCTAAGCTGTTAGTTTCCCACCATGCGATGCTTCACTGTTAACAACAAGTATGCAACCCTGCACCTGAACAAGTGTGTCAAAAATTAGCAAAATAAGAAAAATACTACTGTTTGGCAGACTAACGTACTGGTGAAGTAAATATGAGCTAAATGAAAACACAATAACTTCTGAATGAATACAGATGTAAAATGGTAAGTGTCTTGAGTACATGATGCAAAGATCAGAAAATGACAGACTTAGTGGATGTCTTGCAGCCGCCACCACGTCTGTAATCCTCTTAACATTCAGACAGCAGAAGTTTTCAGACTTTCAGTTAGCGTCAAAAAGCGTTGTATCTTATATGTGCTAGAAAATATTGTATCCCTGTATCTCCTTTGAATGGTTTAACTGAAGCTCTTATTGTTGATCGAGAGCCTCAGAATGCGATCAAACACAGAAAACACAAGCTGTGTTGTATATTTAAATGCCACTACAGTTGTGGCCGATTAAAATGCAAACTCAGTATTAGGGTGAGCAGTAGTTCAGTGGGTTGAGGAGTGGTTCCAAAGGCTGTGCAGCTTTTTCATCAACTCCTGTAATGCAGTTTAAATTGAAAGGTAATGTGCTGTGACTTAAGTGTTTTTAAGGCAATACTATTGTGAGATTTACTCGTGCAGCGCAGCGTTATTGTGGCGCTGCTGAAGGTTACGTGGGCGAATCTGCTTGTGGTGATGTAGCGACCACCTCTGTCCTCACCAAACTGCATGAGAGTTACTTTCTGACTGGACACACACACACACACACACACACACACACAGACGGTTCATATTAAAATGCCGTTTATACGTTTGTGTTCCCACTTTTGTGACGTTCAGCTGTCTTCCTTCCATATTTACCTGAAGTAGAGCAGTTGAAGGAAAAATACAAACACTTGAACCCTCTGGAGACTAAAATCACTTGTGCGAGTGATTGGTGTTAAATATGTTAAATGTTCTGATGACTCTTGTTGGGAGTTATAAAATGTGCCTTTTTACAGGGTCTTTCTTGCCCTGAACTTATCGAATCAGCTGTTTTTTTCTCATCTTTTGAGAAGCAGCTTTCCAGACATCATTTTGCATGTAATCCATTTTGTTGATCTGACAATCTGTGTCGCCAAAAATACTTTTTAATCCTTGTTTTTCTTTTCTTGTGCTTACTTTCTGCTCTTTTTTTTTTCTGACATGAGTGTTCCTCGCTGTATTTCTGAGAATGATATTATTTGCTCATTTTTGCTGTGTCTCTGGTGTTTGTTTACAGTAAGTTGGCCAGCCTGTGATGTTTTTTTTAATGAATGTTTACTGCTTTAATGTATGTTTTGTTTGATTTTTATGATTCACAAGAAAAATAAAAGCTTTATGTTCACCTGTCAGAGGGAAATTCTGTTTTCTTACAACCTGGCTCTTCTTTTATATTTTCTGCCTTTAAGCTGCCTTCATTTATAACCGTTACTCACAGGAATCATGCACATGAAAGCTTCAGACATTAAAAAAAAACTTACTGTAGCCTTCATTATACAGTGATATGTCATTCATTAAAAGAGCTACACTAAATGACCACAAGGCGACAGAACACAACTGTCCTCTAATTAAACATTTAACAATGCCATGTTAATACAACAGCACTAGCCATGTGCTTCTAAATCTGTGATACAGCGAAGAAACAACTTCCATTTGTAGTACCTCTGCAGAGGCCACCAGTGGTGCACAGGCTGGCACGACTAAAGATGTGGCACCTTTGCATTTTCACAACTTTGAATTCACCCAACCTCATGGAGACTGCTAGGTCTGACTTATTTTACTGAATATTTACTCATTGTTAGCTCAAGACTAATGTCAGAGAAGTTGCCACTGTGGCTATGATTTATTTAAGCCAAAAAGCTCAAGTTTAAACTCTAAGATCATCTAAATGGGAGGCTGTATTGTCTGAATTATCCTAGCAAAGGGTAATCCCATTGCTGGGATCACCAGTTGATACGGTTCTAGTTTCAGAAATCATGTGAATAATATGGCCAGGTGGACACTAGTCTACTCTGAGTCTGTTATCATTTAAGCGATTTATGGTAATGTGCTGCAAATAGTAGCCTTTAATGTTTATTTCTAATTCATTTTGTCTCATAAGGCAGAGTGCACTCTTTGCGATTTTCTTCTTCCTGCAAACAGTTTGACTGGTTGAAAGGTAGGTATGATCTCAGATGATGAACATTTTCTTTGGTTGACTGCAGCCATGGTCCTGTGCAGAACACTTGGGTGGTAATAATGTTGTGTGGCTGCTTTAAATATAATGCTGGGGATATTCTTTATTGACAATTCGCTCCATAAAATGTATTGCTAAACAGAAATAAAAACCTAAGTCGGCAGCGGTGCCTTTATACCAGCATCAGTTCTCCTTGGAACACACAGTTTTTGAAGGTATTTTGCAGATAGGTGGTTCCTACATGTTGGAGCACATGCCACAGTTGTCTTCTGTCTCCATATGTAAATACAGACTGACTCCATGATGTTGAGATCAGATTTCTGTGAGGGACCTAAAATCTGTTGCAGAGGATACATCTTTATGACTCATTCTAGGAGCCTCTAACTTTTGGTTAGAACTCAAGAAGCTTGTTTTTACTGAAGCTCCTAGGATTACTATGATTTGGATGACTGAGAGTTTACACAGACATATTGTTGGTGGTATAACTGATGTAAAAAACAAATCTAACCATCTAAAGTAATTGAAACTTCATTATGCAAAGAAAGTTTTAATCTTTTCTGGACTGTGGCTCAAATCTCCAAGTTTTGCTCAAATCTAAACTGCTCGTTTTTAAGATATCCAGACAACAGAACTGAAGTTTTCATCACATTTCTCAACTACTGCAAAAATACCTGGCTAAAGTTACAATAGTGGTGTCTATTGACGGTGAAGTTGTTTATAGTAACGTCCTCACATCCTGGTTCTTGACAGTGAAGCGATTAAAAATATCACAACCATCAGGATGGCAAAAACTACAAAATGTGACCCATGCAGGCTGCAAAAGCAACAAATCTACCTGTAAGATGCAGTAAACACAAATTAATGCAGCAAAGAATCATTGATAAACATCAGAGTTGTGTAATTACAGGGCACAAAGCCTTTAAACGGTGCTGTACAAGTTCTTTA